TTTTTCTAACAAGTTGAAAAATATTTATATATTTTTTTAAAAAATTAAATTCATAAATTTATATATTTTTAACAAAATTGAATATATAAAAGGTTTAATGAACGGTAAAATTTTTTTAACCTCTGAATTTCATATAATTTTAATTATAGATTTTTTTTTTGTAAATCTAAAATAGTTTAAGGATAAATTTGTAATTTAACCTTTGTATAATTTTTATTATTCAATGACAGAAGAATTATATTTTGAAAAAAATTAAGACATTTTAGTCCAAACGCCGATAATCCAACAATACCTAAGAAAGGAGATAATGATATTCCCGTAATATACCCCAAAAATCTACTATTGAAATAAAACATTATCGGAATGAGATTCCTGACCAACCAAACATGATAATGTAGATTTCATTCTCATGGAAATCCTACATTCCTTAATTCCAACACCCCTAAGAGTTCAAGCAATCCCTAGTGACCCATTAGTGCAAAACAGGTTGCAGCCCTATCCAAGTAGACGAGCTATTAGTGTAAACTATATTATATATCACCGAATTTTAGGTATATATTGTATCGTTTACATCAATGAACTTTCAGTTTTACCAACTATAACACTAAATTATCTCGATCAGCTCCACATGAACAGATGGCATGATTTGATGCTAAGGAATAAATTTATAAAATTTTAAGCAAAACTTTATTTATCAATAGAAAATATTAAAAAAATATCTAAAATATGTGAATTTAAATTCGAATCACCGAAGAAAATAAATCATCCTAAGAGAGTCCATTCAACAACATGGAAAACTTTCTGCTAGTTTTCGTAGTACGACTGGTACATCCATTGAAAAGTTTGCCTTCCTCTTGGCACTTCCTCTTTAAGCTTTTCAACCTGTTCTTTAAACCTGATATTTCGACTCGCAGCCCGGAAAACGAAGACTGATGCCATTGAGTAAGAAATAAGATCAGCTAATCAGGCCGATTGAACACGGAATCGGTACTCTATTAGATTCGGACATTGTTTAAAAGATAATTCACTCCATCGAATCGAAGATCAAAAGTTTGATCCGAGTAGGATGACTAAATTCAAATGCCAGGGTCGGTGCCATATTGTTGGAGAAGAACTTACTTTGACCCGAAAGGACCCGAATCAACGACAGCTCTTTCCCTAAGAGAGCAATACGGTACTACATGGGATGTTAGGTTGTATGGTACAATGATGACACAAGTTTGGTGGTTAGAGCTAAGTGAAACTACCAAATAAAGCTCTATCAGGTCAATCACCAAGAACCATTTCTCCCTTATGGTATTTTTCTAATGTATGTTAAACGCTTAACAATAATGCTACATCGATACTAGAACTATATACACAGTTAGGACTCGAGCAAGATTACGGACATCGAGAGCCGACGCCAAAGAGTTCAACTCAAAGTAAAGAAAACTTCTTGAAATAAAAGTAAAGAAATAAATCATACAGAAGCTAGCGTATATCAAAGCACGGGGACAAGTTGAATTAATTGGCAAGGATGAACAAGCAAGACATATTTTGATCTTGAAGCAGGGAAAGAAAATATGATTATACTGCTCGGATGATAACGATGACTAAATAGGAAATACCTTCTTATTTACTGTATTTGATTTTGAGGCAGAGAAAAGAACTCCTTGCGTTACGAGCACCTCTGCCTCCACTACTGCTTCAAACACAAGGTCCGTCCTTTTGCACCTTCTGCAGACACAAATTACACGATTAACGGCCACCTTTACGAGTATATGTGCTTAACATGGAAACAGCAATAAGTACTAAAATATTATGTTTGAAATGATTGTGTGCATGCTATCAGGTGACTCTTGAAAAAAGTAAATATCAGCAGGCGCCCGAATAGAAAAGGTTGCAAAAGCAATTAAACGTGGACATATTTTCGTTCCATGGGGTAAATGTATATTTTCCCCCAAAGGAGTCCAGATGCAGGGCGCATGTCCACACATCCAGTACAATTTACAAACATGATGAACATTTTACTTAAGCATGGTATTTAGCTGCCGAGAGAATTTACAGGAGCACATACACTAATACCGAAGCAAAACATCTAATGATGATTAGGAGAAATCTTACAACCTTCCGATCCGGAAGGAGTCCAGCACTTTCGCTGAAAACAGGAAGAACAGAGAAATCACCAAATTCATATTAAGATTTTCCTCTTCTACATTGCACCTCACTGAACCAGCTTTAAGAGCTTCAGAGTCAGCCAATCTTGCATAGGAGGTCGCTTGGCTATGCAAATCAGTTGAATTCTTCATAGTATCAGTTGAATTCTTCTCTTCTTCAGTTTTCTCGGGAGGAACTGTGACTACGAAAGAAATGGTTGGAGGAGGAAGTTGAGAAATGGAAGCCGAACAAGGTAGCAATGCAATGGGAAGCATATGATTAAACTAAGACTAATACCATTACTATCAGAAGCAGGCTCTGGAGGATTTTCCATCAGTCTTTAGTCATAGGACCGGGATTCACAAGAGATAAACTCCGTATTTCATGCCGAATTGCATCTAGTTGGGCCATTGTATCTTGAAGCTCTTTGTGAACCTAGAAACGCCAGATTATCATAAGGTGAAAGACAACTTCCCTAAAGTTGTCACCGCGACTATTTCCCGATCTAATCATGCGATGAACAATTCATTTTCGATATTATCTACATATAACATACTGTATAGTATACAAAATTTTACTTCCAATGGAAATGAAAGCACTTCTAAAATTCTTGGCAGGAAGAACAACAAGATAATAAAATTTAATTTGGTAATGAGGGTTTCCTAAGGGATTTAAATAACAGTTGAGGTCGTGTTCTCAATTGCTTTTATCGTGATCGCGGCAATAGAGGATCCAATTGTGGGTATCGCCGTTGTGAAATAACGGTTTTGGACGACACCTTTTACCTCTTTATAACGGTCACTATTCCGATAGCGGGCTGCTATTTAAATCCCTGGTTCTCCTGAACTTTTTTATATTGTTCAATGGAAAAAGAAGTACCTGACGAGCTTGATTGCTGCATAACATTATCGAATTGGCCCCGAGCTAATTGAACATATCCAATTGATCGACCTGCTAACCTCCCAGCTGCTCTTGCAATTTTAGGCAGATCCTTAGGTCCTACGAACAATAGTATTACAGAAACACATTTCAGGTTTTGGCTCAAAAAAATTTTTTTTAAGAGAAATGGAAGTATTCCTTCAATCCCAATTAACCAAAAAAATAAAAGAAATGTAGAAGTAATCACAGTCAAAGTAAGAGCAGGATTACCCACTAGAGCAGCAGTGGCTCCAAATCAAAAGGAAGAGCTCTCCATATGAAATTCCAAACATTTCGAGACACTTCCAAGCGAATTGTATTCCTTTGGCGCGCGCGTTCTATCAACAACCGAAGAGCGAAAGTGTTCGAAACCGATGGTGCAATGCTAGTTTAAGCTTGGAAGTCGCAAGATTTGGTCTCTACTGGGGTGTGTTCGAATACAAAGCATCTTTCAGAAACTGCAGCCTATGTGTTTGTTCAATTGTCCAAGTGAAGATTTCAAACTGCAAAATGAAAGCTTTTCTCTAGAGGCATAAAAGGAGAAAATCAGGAAATTTTGAGAGGAGTCGAGCGGTAGAAATGTTTACGTACGACAATTTTAATATACGGTTAAAAAATGTTATATCGATTTTATTATATTTAAATAATAAAATCAATAAAAATTATCATAAAATTATTATTTCTATCGTTTTGTTATTATCGTGTTTTTATCGAATTTGGTAAAATGCTACGATTTTATTATTATTAGGCGTTTTATTTGATTTGGTAAAACACTACTGATTTTGTTATTTTTTATCAGTTTTATTATTATGGACATTTTTACCGGAATATTAAAAAATTGATATTTTAATTAAAAATAATATTTAAGTAATATTTTTATCAATTTTATTATTTAAATAATATAAAACCGATAACACCTTATTTTAGTCTTATATTAAGGTATCGTACCATAGAACTTCCTATAAGTAGGGTAAAACCTTGACTATGATAATATGATAACGTAAAAAAAATATGTAACCATCAGAAAATTATATGATGATATATTATAAATTGGTTTAATATATTCTTCAGTGTCTAAATTATGTCTCAACAATGATTTTATATCTAAAGAATTTTTCACCATAATAAGTGTCTAAAGTTTTCAACGTTACATTTTAGAGTGTTTGAATCGTAATGACATTAAATTTGACCGTTATCTGACACGTGACATGCAATATAAAATTTCTAAAATTTTTTATTTTAAAAAACTTAATATTATATTTTTTTAAATCTCCAAATTTTACATCTTCTGCCGCCGATCAACCACGTAGGTCCATGGCTATCACTGTTGACACTATCAGAATCGTCTCGCAGTTGCAAGTAAGACTCAGTCTCCCATCACTGTGAAACTGCGTCGATCATCATGAAAAATATCGCGAAGGTCGTCGAATTTTTAGGTTTTCCGTTACTATTTTCAACGATCTCAACGACTACAGTCGTTTGTACGTTACACGACCACCACCGTCTATTAAGCGTCTATTATTCGTAAAAAATTCTTTAGACACCAAATCATTTTTTGATATATAATTTACGCACTAAAAAGTGTATTAAGCCTTATAAAAATTAACTTAGCTATTTGGGGAATATTTTTAAGGTTTATGGTTTCTATAATAATTTATATTATTTTAAAATTAAAAACATAACATTAAATATTATTTTAAAATAAAAATAATTTGGTGATTAAAACAAAATTAATAGTTGGAAAAAGAGACTTTTGAGTCAAAGCCTTTGACCAAGGACAAATTTGAACATAATTTTCAAACCAAATCAAAGTATTCATGGACTCAAAGATTGGATCTTTCCTATATAGACATTTTCATACCTAAATCTGCAGATTTCCCAGCAAAGAAAAGTCAAGCCATGGATCAGTTGATGGAGCTACTGTTACATGGTGAAAATGAAATCTCATGGTTCCACCAATTAGCCCGAGTGCTTTTCGGCCATATTCAACAACACCCGGAGTGGAGGCTGCCGGTTGCAGTAATGCTGGGAACATGAACAAGAGAATGATCGAGTTCTTGGGGACGATCGTTCGGGTTTCGACGACGACGGCAGCCGACGATGAACAGAGGAATTTGAAGCACAAGTTGAATGAGAGACGGAGGAGAGAAAAGGAGAAAATTTGCTACTTTGCCATGTATTCTGTCGAGGAATTTGAAGCACAAGTTGTTTTGTTTTGAGCGTTTCTTTGGTGATTTTCTTGGCAGAATGATAAGAAGTCGATAGTTCAGATGGCAACAAAAAGAGTTCAAGAGCTGGAACTGGTGAAGAAGGATTTGGAGAGGAAGGACAAGGAATTGCAGGCAAATAACGAAGGAGACAAGATCAGAGTGAGGATAGATGATCCAACGTGTGGGTTTGATTCAGTGTTAGAGGCTTTGAAATGCTTGAATGATCCTGTCGAGCTTTACAAATCAATAATTCCTTGCTGTTTTGGATACTGCAACTGAGGTTCGTGCTGTTATTTTTAACGTCTATGTAAATATATGCAGTATTAAAATCAACAATCAAATTATTTAATAAAATTTAGGGTAAAGCACACAAAGGTCCTCGACTATACGGTAATATTTATTGAGTCTATGAGTTTAGGGACGGTATGGGTCTGGTTTGGGTCAACCCGACCCTACCCGAAAATTTTACTTCCCCCACCCCAACAGAAAATTTTACATCCTCCACCTGACCCGAAACCGACCAAACTTTTTGAGATAAAACTATAACCCAACCCGACTCGAAATAAAATATTTATTAAAAATATAAAAAGAATATAAAAAGGATTATTATTATTATAATTTTCCATAAATATATAATGTAAAATTATATTTTTTTCAGGTCGGTCAGATATTTTTCACCCTAAATTTGAATCTAACCTGACTAGAATTTTTTTAAAAAAACCATGGGTTGGATTCGAATGGATCAGGTTGGGTTGGGTTGGAACCCGTCGGGTTCGAGTCCCATGCCCATCCATACCGATCCCTTGCCCATTCATACCGATCCCTTGACTATGTTGTTTTGTTGAATATCATCTATTCATTATGTTTCTAACTCATCCTTTTTTTTGTTAAAAACCTAACAATCGTCTGAGATATGAATCATATGATAGACATTTGAGATTATAAGATCAGATTTTATCATATCTCATTTAATAGGTTAACATACATCTCATATTGCCGTAAAAATTTTAACGGAAAAAGACGAATTTGAAACATAATTAATAGTCAAATAATCATTTTGTAATTTTGAATAATCAAGGAACTTAACAAAGCAACTTTATACAGTTGAAAGAACATTTTATAACTTCAAATAGTTAATGGACTCAATAAAACATTACTTTACGATCGAGAGATTATTTGTGTACTTTACCCTAAATAACCCTAAAATTTAAGACATTATCTTATCTTTTTTTATAGATGAGAGCTGCATATGTGGAAAATACAGTAAATAGAGCAATGCAAGAGGCCAGAAGGAAGCCTGTGGCAAGCTAGATGGGATGCCAGACGTTAAAATAAAATAAGATTCAAATTTTAGAGATGATATTAACCGACATCTTTGTTATGCTCAAATATGACCATATAAAAATAACCCTAAAATTTAAGACATTATCTTATCTTTTTTTATAGATGAGAGCTGCATATGTGGAAATACAGTAAATAGAGCAATGCAAGAGGCCAGAAGGAAGCCTGTGGCAAGCTAGATGCCAGACGTTAAAAAAATAAGATTAAATTTTAGAGATGATATTAACGACATCTTTGTTATGCTCAAATATGACCATATAAAAGATGTAAACGCTTTTTTTTGGTAAAAATTGTACCATGAGAACATGATTAAATCTGATAGTAAAATGTGATTTCAATGTGTTCCAAACTTACCTTAACGGTAAAAAATGGCATTTGCAGCAAGCTTTGAATTCCATTATTGACCAAAAATCGAGTTCGATTCATCTCATCAAGTCTAAAACTAGACGAAAAATAGAATTCAAACCCAAAACATTGTAAATGAAATAAACTGAATTGAGAGAATCATTCCACGTGAGTAGCCTATACATTACGCGATCCAGATAGTCCGATACCAGCAGTTATAAACAGCTATAGATATATGAAATAAAAGCCAATGAAATTACCAAACAAAAACATTGACATCTTCAACTGCAATAAAACTAGATGATGAAACGTCCAAAGCAAAGGGTAAAATTTTCATTACCAAAAGTGCAACAAAACAATGTCATACTAACCCCATACTGAGGATCCAAGCTGGAGGAAAGGTCTTCACTTCAGAGGAATGAACCTCGAAGAGTGAGTAGCACCGATACCGGTCTCGTGCTTAACAGGCTTGTATGAAATAGAGAACTCGGCAAGGTAATGACTAATCATTTCAGGCTTGATTTCCACTTGGTTGAAGTCTTGCCATTGTACACGCCAATGATGCTACCGATCATTTCGGGTACAATGATCATGTTTCGGAGGTGTTCTCACTGGTTCTGGCTTCTCACGGGTGGAGCCTCCCTTTCTGGTTAAAGATCAGAGCAAAGATGCAAGCATAATAGTTAACGGACAACACACACTAATGAGTTCTATGATATTCTCGAAAGGTGGATTTACAAGGAAATTCAGTAACAAACACAAAAGAACAGATGATCTTTTTCATACTAAAAAAACAGCTAAAGGACCTTAAAGCACTAACATCAGACATTACACTTAAACAACTGACAGCGAATCCGAGAGTCGGAAATTAAAAGGACAACGAACTAAGAAAAAAAAGTAAAAGGCGTGAGGAATGTGGATAGTTATCATCATTTATGAAAAATATGTTGAAAGCTTATTCTATTATGCGGATTCAAGGGTCGCATTCAGCACATAATTTCAAAACATAACCAATGGTTGCAACAAGCATAAACACTAGACTTTAACTTCAATCACTAGAAATAGCACAAAACAAATTTCCAAGTAAAATTTGACCATCTCCATCATGTTTAACACAAATATCTCAGCTCCCAACATCAAACTCTGGATCTAAAGGCATATGTGACGAAAATTGGAAAAGAAAGAGTGAAGATAAGATCAAATTACCGCCTTGCGAAGTTTCTTAATCAAGCCATGGGCTTTCTCTTGAGACCTCTCTGGAACCTACAATTCCACGACAAAAACAACAAATGAAAAAAATCCCATTTTATTTTTCAGTAAAAATAAGAATAAATCGTTAGGAAAAATGAATCTGTTTTTTTCGTTTATTACCTTCTGCGAGCACGTGCAGGGAAGAGCTTGACTAGCTCATCGGGGACATATCGAGGAGAGCATCCAAATCAACACCCCTGAAGCTGAACTTCTTGAATGTTCTTTTTGGGCACTCCGGCCGCCGCAACCTCCGTCTCCACATCCGCCTATCAGAATAAACCCATTTGCGCATCGTAAGATCGAAGAAGAAAAATAAAAAGAAGAAGAAGAGCGCGGAGGAACTAACTTACCATGGTCGAAAGGATTGATTTCTGAAGCTGTAGGCTTTAGGGTTTGTTTGGAGGAGGTGAAACTAGAGGAAGAAGTATTATAAGTTGTGTATATATATAGGGGCTGAACCCTAAATTAAGTGTAAACTTTTAGTTGGACTGGGCCTTAACATGGTTTAGATCTTGGTTAGATTTGTGGCAAATGGTAGCAATTATTAGGGATGATTATAGGTCGATTTGGATTTTATCTAATCGAATTTGATTCGAGTATAATTTCTCAATACGTGATCTTATTTGATTTGAATTTAGAAAATTGCATGATTTGAAATCTAAAATGACTTTTAAGGTAAAAACTTACATCTGATTTGATCCAACCTGATCCAATACAAATACAATACTTTGTTCCCACTAAATGTGTTTATTATTAACTTTTTAAAAGTCAAAATCTTTAAATTTTGACCATGATTATTTTAAATATTATAAACAATTGAATTTTATAAAATACTATATTTAAAAAGCTACATGATTTAAGATTTTTAAAATATATTTCTCATATTTTTATCAATAATAAGTTTTAAATAAGAATGAGTCAATGTTAAAAATTAACCCAAAAAAGAAAAAAAAAATAGACAGATTTAATTGAAAATATAATATGAAAATATTATAAAAATTATTTTAAATATATAAAGGATAATCATATTATTTTTTTTGAGTCTATCAAATCAAATATTTTTCATTTTTAACTCGAATCCGATTTTTTTTAAATGACCCTATATAAGGTTGGGTCGGGTCAAAATCCAACATATTCAAGCAAATATTCATCCTTAATTTTACTTGGGTTTAGACAGTGATGGATCTTGATAAAGCAATTTAGGATCAAATTAAAATGTAAGTAACTATTTCAAAGTAAATCAAAATCATTCTTCAGAGCTTATTGTCAGAATGATATACCTTAACTTGTTATACATATTCATTAACACTAATACAAAAATACACAAATACTTAATGCCCCTTCATGCAGGCAAACACTTTCTTTACCCTTTGTGTATAGGGCAATACAAGGATTCTAAAGCGTAAAATGCTCCTTGTGCCCCTAATTACACATGCTCTAAAACTCTCTTAATCCATCAAAGTTTCTCAATATACCAATATCTAACAATACCACCAGGAAGATTTTTATGATTCTAATCCTAGGATACAAAAGCACAGGTCTTTCAGAATCATCTTAAAGTTTCTGACTTTTAGAAATCCATGCAGCAGAAGCATAAACATTAGAGATCATACCAAAGATACATATCAGCAACAAGATTCAAACATCACCAGAAAACAAGAACATTGTAATTTAGACACTGATTACTACAACTCAAAGTGTTTGATACCTACCTCTAAGCCTAACCCACAGCAGCTTTGCCCTTCTCCTTTGCTCTACCATGTACTCCTGAACCCTCTCAGCTTTCTTCCTCATGCCTTCAATCATCTCCTCCGTTGCCTCGGTTATCTGCTTCGGCAATGAACCTCCAGGTAATGAACCACGCCCTTAATGTCGTCTCCAAATCCATCTACCCTTTCATCACAGCTCTCCTTAACCTTAGTTTTAGAACCTCTACCTTCTCTTCATCTTTTCCTACTTGAATTTCTTCGTTTTGCAATGGATTCAACTCCTCCACCTTATACCCTTCATCATTCTTACTTGAATTTCTTCGTTTGGCAATGGAATCAGCGTTTCCTCCTTATTCACCTCATCTACTTCTGTCAAAATTGTTTCTTTTTCCTCTAATTTTCTTTCCTGCTCGTTCTTTTCCTCCCCCGGGGGCGGCCTTTCCCTCGTTTTGCCACGGTTTCTTCATGAATTTCAGTATCCTTCGGAACATCTAGCCTGCAATTCAGGGAATCCGCATTCTTCCTACTCCTAGTAACCCTAACATTTTCTTTCTTTTCTATATCTAATTTCTCTAATTCTTTATTAAAACCATTTGTTTCGTTCTTCAAAGCCTTACCTCTCCTCGACGGATTCCTCCGATTCTCCGCTACCTCCTCTGCTCCACCTCCTCCGCCTTCGATTTTGATCAAGATCGACGCAGTCTTCCCAGCTTCACCGTATCGCCGTCTTTGAGATCAAATGGAGTATCGGCGGGGAGTAAATCGGAATTAAGAGTCGTGCCGTTAGAGGATCCGAGATCTCGAAGGATCCATTTACCAGAACCGGATTCGATTGTGAGGTGCTTAGAAGAAATGCCGGCATCTTTGATCGGAAGGTTGTTGCCACGCACGACCCGCCCGATACGGATGGTGGACCCGGGTTCGTACATGATAGTTTCGCCTTTTCGTGGACCCTGAACCATCACTAGAGTAATCGGCGGGGGATCCATTCTTCAGGCTCCGGTCAGAGAAAGAGTGTTAAGCCAAATCCTTTTGAAAGAATTTGAATTGGTTTAAATCAGTCGGCTTTTTTTCCCTTTCCCTCTCATATTTATCATCTATCCATTTATCCGGGTTGGAGATGGTAACGGGTCGGGTCGTTTATCAATATGATCTGACTCAAAAAATATGTATCATCCTCTTAAATTTGATCCAATTCAAAAATTATATATCCTCCACCCGACTCGACCTGATGAATAAAATATATATCTTCCACTTGATTCTGAATTAACTCGAATTTTTAGAGTCTAAATTCGAGCTAACCCAATCTGGTTTAAAATAAAAACTTAATTAAAATAATAATAATTTTTTTGAGGATATTATTTAATTATCTTGGGTTGAGTCGGAGTTTTTTGCACCTTCCATCCAAATCCGACTGGGCCCGACCTCAATTCATTAAGAAACCCGAGCCAACATGACTCAAACTCAATTTTTTTTTTTAAAAAAATCTAACCCTATCAAATAAGTCGAGTCAAAATCTATCAATTTCGAATTAAATTATCATCGATGTGGACCGGTTGAGACAATAGTTTAAGGTGCAAGTTAAAAAGGTTAAATTATAATATTTTGTCCACATACTCTACCGAAATTGGGATTTAAGTTTCTTTACTTTAATTTATATAAATTGGTCTTTCGAATTTTATGCTTTAGTCTAAATTTCTTTAGTTTAAGGTGCAAGTTAAAAGGTTAAATTATAATATTTAAGTTTCTTAATTTAATTTTATATAAATTGGGATTTAAATTATCATTGTATGGGTTTTTAGGATATTTTATATTTAAATCCATTATATCCTAAATATTATATTAAGAGTCGATTGGTCTAGTTGGATAAGGAATTAAATCCCTTAAACAAAATTAGAAATTCTAATCCTGATGTTTGCGAATAAAATAAACTTAAACAATATTAAATTACTTACCAATTGAACCAATTGATTTTATATTTCTATTTTAATTTAATCTTTTAGCGCATCTTTTTACCACCACTAGTTTGAAGGTGCGTCCTATAAGATATACTTTTTAAAGTTAGTTGTTATGACGGAAACTCTCACGTGCGACAGATTTAATATACGGTTCATGAAAGATGATATTGATTTTATTATTATTTTTTTAACAAAATCGGTAAAAAATTACCCGAAATATTATTATTTTTACCGATTTTGTTATTATTGGGCGCTTTATTGGTTTCGTTAACATATCCGGTAAAATGTTATCGGTTTTGTTATTTTTTCTACTGATTTTGTTATTATTGGACAATTTACCAGAAATATTAAAAAATATTGGTGTTTTAAATAGAAATAATAATGGTTTAGATAAATTTTTACTGATTTTATTAAAAAATAATAATAAAATTAATAACGTCTTTTCTTAACCATATATTAAGACTGCACGGTAAAACTTGCTATGACACAGCTTCTAAAAATGTGTGACGTGACGCGTCTTTGTTAATATGCATAAAAAAAAATTTTTTTTTGTTATAAACACCACCTATCATCTGTCTAATTACATTACATGTAATTACAACTAATTCAAGACTATTCAACCACACCTTAAGTGTTTAATGTATGCAAGCAATTATCAATTTCATGCGATTTATGTCCAGTTCAGTTGGTAGAGCATAAGTCTCTTAACTTTGGGATCGTGGGATCGAGTCTCACGGTGGACAATTCATAATTCGGAAGTCTTTTACGAAAGCTGCTATCAACCTGGTGTTGGGGGCAGCTTACAATCTTACCACCCTTTATCCAATTACATACGGGAATAAGGGTAAGTTAGTTTTTTTTATGCGATTTATCCAACGAATCGTCTTATACAAACGAACAGAGGAACCAGACATCGGAAATGCAACCAACTATGAATTCATGTAAAATAGTAGACCAAAAAGAAAACCAAATTTAAAAAACTGCACCGAAAATCTACAAACACCGATAGTCATAATACCCTTTATCAAAAAGCGCCAAGAGAAACATTACTATTAAACTAAGTTAAAACTAACAATGAAAAACTACTAAAATAAATAACGAACAAAAAAGGAAGTAAAAGGATAAGGAGGTGGCCGTGAAACAGTATTTTAAAATTGGATCAGACCGATCGGTTCAATCAGAAACCATGCCGTGAAAACCACCACCGTTGCTTTAAAATAAGACTTTGGAAAATCGCCTGCTGCAAAAAGTTAACCGCTGCAGAGAAAACTTTGAGAGTGGGAAGTAGGAGTTAGAATGATTAAACATAACAACTAAAATTTAGATGAATATAAATGATAGTTTTAATTTATAAGTTATAAGTATTGCTTTTAAACATAATAACTAAATTTTAGTTTGAACATTTGATTTAATAAAGATGAATTTGATATTATTTATTATGTTTGACGCTTAATCAAATAGTTGAGCCTTTAAAACATATACTACTACTTGTAATCACTGTTAATAAAAAAATTGTGTTTATATTAGATTTTAGGGTAATTACGTATTTATTTCTTAAACTATCAGTTTTGGTTTGTTTTAGTACCTAAATTTTCAATTGTTTTTAAAACTTAACGTTAAGTTATTAACGAGGGTACTAGTTTCTAAACTTTTATTTTTTTTAAAATTACACCTAAAGCTTAGTTTTGTTTTGTGTTAGTATCCTCGTTAATAACTTAACGTTAAGTTTAGAAAACAATTGAAAGTTTATGTACTAAAACTGATAGTTTAGATATTAAACATGTTCAATTTTTAACGATGAGATACTAAAATGAAACAAAAACGAAATGTTAGGTATGATTTTTGAAAAATTGAAAGTTTAGGTACTAAAGCATACCAAAACTGATAGTTTAGATACTAAACACGTGATTTACCCTAAATTTAATTTTTTTATTAATATGATTTAAGTACAAAATAATATATGTTCAAAGATATCGATCATTTAACATTAAACACTCAAACTCTTGATATTTATGATGATCAAATTTGATACCTCAAAAAATAATAATAATTCCTTTTATCACCGGTTGTTTATAATTTAAATTATTCTATATTCGAATTGTTGTGATGAAATTAGATTAACTCTTAATTGGGTTGGGTTTTGAAATTAGGTTAGAATTATTAGGTTTACAATTTGAGGAGGGTTCGAACACAATATAGGTAGACAAAAAGGGTGTTAATGACGAAATGTTAAAAATAAGAAAAAACAAAAGTAAGTCAGCGTTCTCTCTTTCTTTGCTCTGTTCTCCCTTTTGCTGTTTTTCTTTGTATCTAATTCGTTCTCTCACTAGAGTTGCCATAGTCTCTATTTCAACCGAAAGGAACATCTCGTTTGATTCTTTTACATTGCCAGGTTCGGTTTCACCATTCGATCTTCACGCTGTCGTCTGAGTCATTTTAGACTTTCTTTAATCTGTTGAGGATTTTTTTGGGTTTGATTTTGACCTTTTTTGGGGGGGGGGGGTTTCAATTTGATGGTTTTTTTTTTAAATTTAAGGTGGTTAATTTGGTCTTAATTAGATAGTTTTTATCAATTTGGGTATTGTGTGCTGATTCATAAGATTCCGTTTGATGTATTTTTGAGATAAAATTATTGATTTTATTAGGATATTTCATCTGGGTTTGATTGATTTTGGTAGTTAGTTTGTCTAAGTGTAGTCGTCTAATTTGGCTAATTAGATTAGTTATATACGTGTGGATAGAATACGAACGCTTGTATCAATTGGTTTTCTGGTAATTCTGGTAATCTTAATTGTAAGTAGACGTGGATGTTTTGATATAATTGTAGTTTCACTTTTATTTTAGGATGATATCGTTAAAAATGGGTGAGAGCATTGACCTACATGGAAATGGTGTTTCCAGTAATGATAAAAAATAAAAAAGGAAATGATGTTTCTTATGATTTTGTATTTCTAACCGAGGTTCAAGATTTACTAACTTTGACTGGGTTCTTATGTTTTGGAATGTGTAGCGAGTGGCATTTCAAGGAGTGTGGGAAGGGGTTTTAAAGGACCAAAATGGCTGGGATTTCAGTGAGGAGTCTGGAGTGGGAAAGTCTTCGGAGTGGAGTTCGAGATCAGGGGAAATGTTGGTAGAGTGGCGGTCTTCTGAGCAGGTCGAAAATGAAACACCTTCGATGTCACCGCCTTACTGGGACCTGATGATGGGTGGTGGTGGTATGCTTTGGATCCTTTTCAGTTAGGTGAATGCTCTTACTCTTTTGAGGTTAGCTTGGTTATAGGTTAGCAGTTTAGGGTTTGTCTAGAGAAGATGGCCTTAAGATTAGTCATTGTGGTGTTTATATTGTTAGGGGTATTTCTTTCTAGTTGGGTGTCTGTGTTTTATGAGAGTGTTTATCTGGATGTATCTTATGTAATTTATTTGTTTAATGAAATCATAAGGCACTCTTTTCCTCCTTCCACTGATTAAGGAGCTTTCCTACAAGCTCCATTAATCAAGAAGGGGTTTTAACAGGCCTTCAATTCTTATAAAAACATGTGTTTTATGCTATATGTTATTATCAGTTCTTATAAAGTTATTGAAACTCTTAGATTGAAACTTCTATATTTCGAGCAAATTTAAATCTTGGGATGTGGTTAAAATGGCTTGCATTCAATATGGATGGTCCTTTGCATACTGTTTGTCTGCATTCTAATGCTCTTACTTAAATCATAGTTTCGATTGGTGTATTAGATCCTGAAGCATGTACTTTACCATATGGTTTTGACTTGTTTATTGTCGTTTCCATGTGAGGTTATGTTTTCAAGCTCTAACCTCTCGACGATGGTTGGTTATAGAAGTTAGGTACTGAATCCCGGGTCTCATGACACGCCATTCGTCACCTCTTAAAAGATAGATTGAAAGATATTTATCTGACCACTCGCTTTTTTTTCTTTTCCTCTAATTTTATCTCCGATAGCGTTAGATATTCAAATTGACAAGATGGAAGAAAGGAGACAAGATGGAAGAAAAGGAGGGGTTTGAATTTTTTCCACCTGGACTTATAAATTGAAGGACTAATGATATCATTCGAGCAATTGGCTCTTAGGGCTAATACATTATTTACTTGATTTTCTTTGCTTTATATTTTTGTTTCTTTTAAATGTCATCTAGAGTTCTAGGAGGTGCTATTGACTAGAAATGTTTCTTCCTGATGCATAATACATAAAGAAGTATTGTGCTTGTTCAGGGCTTCTTGATTGTACTAAAAGCTCAGATTAAACTCTGTATGAATATTAAAAGACATATTTTTAACCAGTTTATTTTGTATTGTCATTTTTAGTATGAACTCTTTTGGAATATATTATTGTTTTCTTCCTTCCTTTGTATGATCAAAACTAATAAAGCTGTGTACACTTCTTCTATAGGGCCGAAACCTCATGATTTATATGGAAAGTATACATGGAAGATAGAGAAATTTTCACAGATAATAAAGAGAATCGCAGCAATGTGTTTGAAGTCGGTGGCTACAAGTGGTACAGGTTTCAAATAATTTGAATGTTATGTTTCTACTTTGTTCTCTAATTCATAATTGTCATTCTGGAATTCCTAGTCTTTGACATCATATTGGAATTTAATGTGGGTTGTATGCACAAATATATAAATCTTGTAAGCTTAATATGCTTCATAAAACCACGTCTCTTTCAAATTGTCTAGTTTTATTATGAGCCGTTTCCATGGTTTACAGGTACATTTAATTTATCCCAAGGCTGTGATGTTTGCAATCATCTCTCGCTGTTTCTCTGTGTTGCTAATCAAGACAAACTGCTTCCAGGTTTGATGTTTTCCATAAACTACACAATGGATATATCATCATTACTCTTCTCTTAAGTTGTACTTAATAGAGTTCCTTGCTTCTATTGCGTGACAGGTTGGAATCATTTTGCGCAGTTTACAATAGCTGTCATGAATAAAGATCCAAAGAAATCAAAATATTTCGGGTTGGTTGGCTCAATTTAGTTTAACAGCTCTAGTAGAAATTGTGAGCTATGAGTAACTGCATTGGATTGCAGATACTTTACATCGATTCGGAAGAAGGAGCATGATTGGGGATGGAAAAAGTTATGGAGCTGTCAAGTTATGATGGTTTCATAGAATCTGACACACTTATCATAAAAGCTCAAGTTCAAGTCATCAAGTAATCTGTAATTTACGACTATGTTGCTTCGACCCCACTTTTCTTGGAATACCTCCGTCAGGAACTAGTATTGACACATTCATACATTGATATGGCCTCCAAATGCATGGAAATTTTTTAAAATTAAACATACCCACATCAGACATACCTATATCTGAATTCTGACACTCATACCCAAGTTTGAGTAGCATAGATTTATGATAAGCAAACTTCCATAGATAGTGCTTCATACAATGCTTTCATGAGTCATGACTATTCCTTTCATACTGTTATTAGATAACCTTTATGGTTATAGTTAAGTAAGTTCGTCCAATTATCTTTGGCCCTTTATACAAGTAGTACCATCACATATATAAACTTTAGCTTGGTAACACAATCAATCCCAGTTTAGCAAATTTAAGATTCAGGGTGGAACTGTACATTGATAATTGTTTGAATCTGCCTTTTTATTATATCTATGATAAAGTTGGCTTAGTAATGAGGTCATTATGTTAAAAAAGGTCCCATGCATGTAGTTGTTTCCTTATTTTGGGATTATGGCCTTGGGATATTACCACCAACTTGATGTGTTGTGTTATTGTTTACACATGACTTGGTTTTCCCCTTGATGATCAGATTTAATATTTTCTTTTGGATGTAGGGAGAAAACAGACCGTCCTTTCCGTTGCCTTGATTGTCAGTATCAGAGAGAGCTTGTCAGAGTATATTTGACTAATGTAGAGCAAATATGTCGCCATTTTTTGGATGAGAGACGGCAAATGCTAGGGAAGTTGATAGAGGACAAAGCTAGGTGGTCAAGGTAAAAGTTTTACACTTTGTACTTTTAATGACATATTACTCATGTATAAAACTGAGTACAATTTTGACTGTTTTTAGAACATATGTTTGAATGCTTTCCTTTTACAGGGTTTTCTAATGAATTGGTTACTTCCTATTCTATTGCCAGATTTTCTGCTTAATTTTTCATCTTTGTTCTTTAGGCATCAAATTCCTTGTTGCCTTGACATTATGTATTAAAGTGATCTCAATTAGTTTTGACTTAATGATTTTTCTTTTGTGCGCTTCGTCATGTTTTAATGGCATATTTTTGGCGATTTTGTTTCTCATTGGATTATCACATGATTTCTTTTTGTTGCCTTTTTTTTCTGCAACTAATTGCTGCAATTGTTGCAGCTTCTGTGCTTTTTGGTTGGCGATTGACCATAATGCCCGGCATCGAATGTCCAGGGAGAAAACTGATGTCATTTTGAAAGTTGTTGTGAAGCACTTTTTTATAGAGAAAGATGTAACATCTACGTTGGTAATGGATTCACTTTATAGTGGGCTAAAGGCTCTAGAAGCCCAGAGCAAGAGCAAGAAAGCAAAGTCAAAATTATTGGATGCTGAAGAAATGCCAGCTCCAATTGTTCATGTGGAAAATGATATGTTTTTGTTAGTGGATGATGTGCTATTACTCCTAGAAAGGGCTTCTTTGGAACCACTACCTCCAAAAGATGAGAAAGGCCCTCAGAACCGAACCAAGGTAAGTTTTTGTATTGATTGTATTTGTAGGTTATAATGAGTAAGAACATTACATGGTTCCATTTTAAAATTATTATAGATTGGTGAAATATTTAGTGAATATTTTTATTTCTATTTCACGTATGTGATTTCTCTCTTGGTTTCGATTCGAATTGATGCTTCTATTTCCGTAGAAGTTAATGCTGTTCATGTGTACTTCTCGGGGAAAGATGTTTCAAGCCTCTGACTGGCATATTTATTTTTGTTTTTCTTTTTACAGTTACAATAAGCAAAGTATTTATCTGCAGAGGAATTTGTTTTTTTTTCAGTATGAAAATGGTATTTCAGGTTTTCCCTCATCCAGTCATTTCATTTCATGTAGGATGGAAATTCTGGAGAGGATCACAACAGGATTTAATTGAGCGTGATGAACGGTGTCTTACGGAATTAGGTCGCAGGACAGTGGAAATATTTGTTCTTGCTCATATTTTCAGGTACCATACGTCTTTTACTTTGCATTCAGCTAATACTGGCATGTTTCCTTATAACTAGGATTGACACACGTGATGATTCATGCGTAAGGAATTGATGATTCACACATATTTGGTGAGAGCTGCAGTACAGCTTCAGTGGATGCATTTCTCTTCTATTTTTTCCAAGACAATTTTTTTCTGGAATTGCAAATTTTAAATGTTTTCTTCAATATAGAAGGTTTAATGTTCATGATTTTGTTACCTTAAGAAAAAAAATACGATTAAATACTTGAATTTGTGTTCTGTCAATTAAGTTTCTCAGGTGGCTAATATTGCCACATAAATGCTGACATGGGCCTGGCCAACCAAAGGTAAGTGGTCATGTGTCAAAGTTAATGCTATATCAGCAATTTATATTTTAATTTGTAAAATAAAATACAAAATTTAAATGAAAAATTTAATAGAAAAAACATATCTGGAAAAATGGAAGAGAAGGAAGAGAGATAAAGGAATAAGAGAAAGAGGAAGGATTAGCTGGCAGTCTGGATACAGGCGAGTGCGATCATGGCAGGGAAGGAAAGAAAACCAAAAATATATATTATTTACTATTTTAAGGTTAGGGTATAAATTTCTAATTTACCTATGCGTAAAAGTTACCACGAGTCATGTTTTATTGGTAAAAGATGACATTCCATTAAACTCTAGTACTATAGTTTTGGTACCTAATTGTACTTTTTTTCTATGTAGGCAGCAATTCATGAAAAGGGGTGTGATCAAGGGACAATTATATTAACCCATAATAGAAACTAACATGCAGTTTTCTTATGAAATCAATACTATAACTTATTCACCGGGACTTGGAATCTGGTATCGTGTTGCAGAAGACATCCCATGTCTGCATGGTGTGCCCGACCACCATGAAAACTCTATCCAGGATGGTGACTGCACTAGTACAAAAGTATTTTATCTTTCAATGGGAGAAGGCAATATATATCTTATAAAATTACTGGCTAACTCTAGGAATAGGACATTGTCTTATTTTCTGATGTTTTATGTGCACAAATCTAGATGGTGGTGCAGTTGATCATGATTTTATATAAACCTTTTCTTTTGGCGAGCTTAATGGGAAAAATGTAAACTTAATTTTCTCGTAGTGATTCGAACTTCTGTTCTGCAAAATCCAAGAAGTACTTGTGGATAATTCTGATGCTTCTTTATTTCTACCTGTATATGCTCTATTTTTGGCATATACAGCAACAATATAGAAGTTGCCTATCAGGAGGCTATTGCTTTGAAAAGGCAAGAAGAACTCATCCGTGAAGAAGCTGCATGGCTTGCTGAAAGTGAGCAGAAGGCTAAACACGGCGCATCCGAGAAGGAGAAAAAGTCAAAGAAAAAACAGGTATAATCCTTTTTGTCATCATATTTATTTTGTCTTTTTGGGGCATGTTGAAGCAGACGTCAGAATAAACACTATCCTTTGACCACCTGAGCCGAACAAAATGATAAAACCTGGTTGACATTTTCCAGATCTATTTTTATTCAATTTTTACCTTTTCTGGGTGATTTCCAGAATGATCCTCTAATTTACTTTTGGAAGCAATTTCAAGCGTATGTTTTTGTGTGTGTGTGTGTTTCCCCTTCATTAGAGTGGAGACAAATTTGTGAAGCTTTTTTTTCGTTCTGAATGCATCACAATTTCTCCTATGGTTACATGCAGGCTAAGCAAAAGAGAAATAATCGAAAAAGCAAAGATAAGGGAAGGGAGGAGAAGGCTATTGTGGCAGGACAGGAAAAGCACCAAGAAGTGCCTGATGATGAAAAGGAGGCCCCTATGATGGTGGAGCAGCCAGTGCCTGAAAAACCTGATGTTCTGGGCGATGTTTCTGATGTTTCCGACTCAGTTGATGGTGCCACTGAGGTTCTTCAGTCTGACTCAGAAGACAAAGATTCTAGTCCTGTTAATCGTGATACAGATACATCAGAAATTCATCTACCCACAGAATCCGGTGGCAGTGGCAGAAGTGGACTGTCATGTGTACAAAATGTAGTAACTGGTAAGAGGCGCCCATCTCTGACGGATGATAGTTCATCAACATGTTTAACAGACTCGGTACCATTAGTGGTAATGAATGGGCCCTATAAAGGGAACTCATCTTCAAACAACCACAATAAGAAATCACCTAGCAGGTAAAGTATTGTTTAGGTTTATTTCCATGCCTAAAAATGATTAGACAAGGTAAATTATCTTATCTGGCTTAAATTTGTAGAGGAAAGAACCAGCGAAGTAAAACATCAGTTGACGGCAATAATCAGATTACAGAATCTGGTAATCAGTCTTGTCCTGCATTAGATGTTGGGGAGCAGAATGAAGTTTCTGAAAGTATTCAGGCCAGTGAATCCGAGTCTGAGGCTGCTGTTCCTTCATTGTCGGATCAGACAAAGTGGGTTAAGCAGGATAATGTTAAGAAGGTGGTGCATTCATATATTCGTGTTCTCATTAAGCTGTTGGCTTT